TAGATCATGTATTCTGACCTCCTGTACATCACCACAGGGCATAGCCATGGGTGGGGCTGGATGAGCCACAACCCAGCCAGTTAGCAGCACCCAGGCCCACACACATTGGAGCCTGTGTGACTGTAGAAACTGGCCAGCACGTGGCTGAGCTCGTTGGCTGGCTTAGGGATCTGCCAGGGCACCGCCGCACCCTGGGTCCAGTTGCCTTTGGCACTTTGGATAAAAGGAAACCTACATGTTTCAGTTTTACAGTAGTAGCAGCAACATAAAATTATCCTGGAAGAACTGAAAAGAAAAACATGGAGAATAGATTAATCTTATGTGAATACAACACAAGAAGCACTTATCTGTGTGGAGAGGATGTACCACACTGTTAGAGTAGATGAGCTGGAGGGGGGGGGGGAATAGTCACTTGGATCATCTCCCATTCCTGCCCCCCTCATACAGTACTTTGTACTGTCTTTGAAATATCCTTCTCCAGAAGTCTGCATAATCACAAGCAGGTTCCCTTCACTGTTCCTCAGGCATCCTACTTGCCTACTCTTGTATTTTGGTAGAGAGAGCAGAGTGAAGAAGCAGGTGTGCATTGTGAGGAATGTCTTATTTAACAAGAAAAGATTTTTTTTTTAAAAGGAATCCAATGTGGAATAAAACACTTAGAATAAAAGAATCATTTTTAAGTCTTAGGATATTGAGACATCGAAAATGCAATAGTGGTGGCGCATGGAAACTTTCAAACATTGCAAACTCATTTTTATTTCCTAAAAGTTCATATAAAAATCTGGCTCAATATTTCATACTGTGTCCTATACCCATGTCTACAGCCATAAGTTCCAAGTACATGCAGAAATGCTATTTCACAAACTACACATCAGGAATCTGGAACCTCAGAGGGCGCTGCAAACAAACTGGATGTAAGTTGCTTGAGCTGTGAGGTGGCCCATGGGGAATCCCCAAACATTTTTCCCTAAGCCCCACCTTCCAACCCCCCCAAAATATTGCGCCTGACACCTGAAACCCCCAAGATGCCCTCTGCCCTCTAGCTCTGTATTTTCCTCCTGTAATCCAAAAGCATCAAAAAGAGAGAGATCTGCCTTTTACAAACAAAAGGGTTCCTTAGCCTGACAGTCCGCAATTGATGGCTGTACAACAAAAGGTGGCTGCAGAGACTGTTGAAATTAAATCTACAGTTTCCAACCTATAGACCACTGTGACTGAGATTCAGAGTGCACTGCAAGCTCTATCCAGATAGATGGGTGAAGCAGAACACTGAATTTCTGAAGTGGAAGAGGATTTTAAAGAGAACAAATTATGGGTTATGAAAAGCTATACAGTAATTCCTCACTTAACGTTGTAGTTATGTTCCTGAAAAATGTGACTAAGAGAAATGATGTTAAGCGAATCCAATTTCCCCATAAGAATTAATGTAAATAGGGGGAGTTAGGTTCTAGAGAATTTTTTTTCACCAGACAAAAAACTTATATATATATTAAATTAAATTGTTTGTTTATATATATACATATATATATATATATATATATATATATATATTACACACACACACACACACACATACACACACACACACAGAGTATAAGTTTTAAACAAACAATTTAATACTGTACACAGCAATGATGATTGTGAAGCTTGGTTGAGGTGGTGAAGTTAGAGGGTGGAAGAGGATGGGATATTTCCCAGGGAATGCCTTACTACTAAATGATGAACTAGCATTTGGCTGAGCCCTCAAGGGTTAACACATTGTTGTTAATGTAGCCACACACTCTACAAGACAGCACGAATGGAGGGAGGGGAGACAGCATGGCAGACAGAGACACACACCCTGTGTGTGTGTGTGTGTGTGAGAGAGAGAGAGAGATGCGCATTGCCCCTTTAAGTACGCTGACACCACTCTAAGTACATTGCCTTTAAAAAGATCAGGAAGTTGAGACAGCAGCTGCGGCCAGCAAGCTTTCTCCTCCTGAGCCCTGTCCTGTCCCCACCCTGCTCTATATGGAGAAGGAGTAGGGGGGAGGGGGACACCCTGACATTGGCCCCCTTCTTCCCCCTCCCCTGCACAACAAGCAGGAGGCTGCTGGGAGCAGCTCCAAGGCAGAGGGCAGGAGTAGCACATTGCAGTGCGGGGAGGGACAGCTGAACTGCCAGCAAGTGGTAGTCTGCTGGACGGCTGCTGCACAGGGAACTTAGGGGAGCAGGGAGCTGATGGGGGGCTGCCGGTCCACCCTGGTTCCAAGCCCCCACCAGCTAGCTGCAACGGGCTACTCTTCCTGCAAGCAGTGGACAAAGCAGGCGGCTGCCAAACAAGATTATAAGGGAGCATTGTGTAACTTTAAACGAGCATGTTCCCTAATTGATCAGCAACGTAACAACGAAACAACGTTAACCGGGACGACTTTAAGTGAGGAGTTATTGTAATGATATCAAGACTATTAACACCAAGCTAATTGATCTAGAAAGCCGCTCACAATGAAATAATATCAGGATTGTGGGTGTCCCTGAGGGGAGAGAGAAAGGTAAACCCTCTAAAATTTGTCCCTAACCTAGTAACTAAGCTATTGGATCTGCCAGTAGATTTTTGTTTTGATACAGAATGGGAACACTAGGCTCTTACCCCCCCAGCCAGCTGCAGGAGATCAGCCTAGAGCATTGTTTCTCAAATGCGGCCTTTCTTTCTTTTCTTGCAGCCACAGCCTCCTGGGTGGTGATGCGGGGTGGGGCTCAGGCTTCTGGCGTCAGCCCTGGTGTGGTGGGCGGCAGGCTCTGACCGTGGGGCCTTGGGCTCTGGCTGCACAGCAGTGGGCTCCATCCCCTGACCACTGGGCTTCGGGTTCAACCTCCTCCCATCGCCCCTGGCCCCCGCTGCCACCCTTGGCCCCTCACCCAACCATCCTATCACCCCGGCCCCCACTGCTTCCCTATCCACCTCTCCATTCAATGCTTAATTAGTCCCCCAGCTTGCTAGGGCTGAGTAAATCTGCTATGAAAAGTGATATTTGCATGTTTGTTAATATCGCTTTTCACTGCCTCCCAGCTAGCTAACAAGTCTCTGCTGTGAAGAGTGATTAACAAACATACAAATATCACTTTTCACAGAAGCAGACTTACTAGCTAGCAAGTCTAAAAAAAAACCCCGCAACCAAAAAAGCAAAAGAAACAACAACAAAATGACAAGATCATGCAAAGCACCTTATTTGTGTTTCTATTTTGTTTAGGTCCAGTAAAGAATGGAAACAACTGTATGTTGTTATTATTGAGACTGCAAAAACACCCCTACATAAATAAATTACTGTGATTGGACATGTATATGTGCATATGTATTCATTTTTCCTAAAGTTAATTAAGTATTTTAGGGAAAATTGTCAAAGAGTCCACTAGCAAGAGTTGGTGGCCGCACTCTGAAGTCACGAAAAATTCTGTTGCCAGAACACCTGGCCTAAAGCATTGATTGTGAAGTTCCTGAAATTTACCACTAAGGAGCTTATATTGCAGAAATCTAGAGGGCGGAAAAGGAGCTGTTATGTGGAGAACCAGAAATTAAAATACTGTTCTATGTCCATGATGTGATTTCAACGAGGACAGCTTTTAACCATTCAAAACAATTATCCAGGAAAATGGACTAGAAGTATTTTATTAAATACCCTGCAATGCTCCACATTAAGAATGCCAAGAAGGGAGTATCATTTTGTTCCCCTCAAGAGGCAGAAAAATACTTCAAAAATCTGCATGCTCCTCCCTTGCAAGAGGAGACATCTATGGAATAATCCAACTATATGGAATTTCTGAATTGCTCTCTGAGATCTGATATGGCTGCTCTAAACAAGTTGATACTGATGCAAGTTCCTTTTTTTCTCTCTCTCTCATTGGGGTTAAAGAGTTATCATCAATTTATTTCCTATTGCCTTAGCTCATGGAATTGGTGCACCAATGTACAAACTATCATTTGATTACTAAATGTATGCATGTGTGTATATATATTATTGCTTTATTAGATGATGCTTCCTTATGGACTAGTATGTCAAGGTTCTATTGGCAATAGGTGATTTACTATACTTGTAATGTCTGGGGCCCAAGGGGCTGTGTGCATCTCCAAGTCTCACCTGAGCCAGCCACCCCTTTGGGTGTCAAGTGTGTATTTTTGGACTGTTTAAAGGGATTAGTCTTTTTGTTTGTATGATACTAATGTGTATTTCTCTCTCCACTATCTTTTCTGTTTTGTTTTTTCACTTATTTAATTCCTCTTTTTGCCTCACCTCCTCTGCCTCCTCTCTCCCTCCCCACCCAGTTATCCTCCTATGCTGGGAATTTCCTTCTCACTCCTGTAGAATATATACTGGGAAGCAACACCCTACCCCTGGATTATATAACTTTTGTTGCTAAAATATGCAAGAACTGTATGCTGCTCAGGAAAATTTGCAATTTCTCCTTATCCACAAAGTGACTTTAATCCAGTATATTTTAACAATGGTGGCTTAAATGTCTCAGAAGAATAAGAACATAAGAATGGCCATACTGGGTCACACCAAAGGTCCATCCAGCCCAGTATCCTGTCTACTGACAGTGGCCAATGCCAGGTGTCCCAGAGGGAGTGAATCTAACAGGTAATGATTAAGTGATCTCTCTCCTGCCATCCATCTCCACCCTCTGACAAACAGAGGCTAGGGAATCAACTGAAAATCTGGCAGGAACTTCATTAATATATGATACAGTACATAATTTTTTTTAAGCTGATATGTCATTAACTAAAATTACCTCTTGTAGTTAAAAGCATGCAGTGGCATGCAGACTGATTAAAAGAAATTCTATGAATATTATGTAGCAAAAGTCTTACCCTTTGACCGTATTTGTGTAGCTTCCAGCATCAAAAGAGATTTTTCGCACAGCAATGACATACATTTGTTTGAAATTGAAGAGAAGCTAAAAGTTATTTCTATTAACCCGATAAAAAGAAACAAGAAAGCCTTGTAATTGGGAAAGTGCCTTACCTTGAAAAGTTGAGGAAATGAACGTGTCTGGTGAATAAATAGGGCTGCTCAGCAGTGCTTATGTTTTTAATCAATTCCATCTAAAAAAAATTAAACAAGAATTACAACTAAATCAAAATTACCGAATTAAACCAAGTTGTGTTTTTGGACAGAAATGGCAACACTCAAACACTATATAATCATTTAGTAGTTTAGACCTACTCCCAAAAAAGTCAGGCTAGGACTGCAACTCTAGGGCTTGTTACCCATGTAAAAAGGGATAGATGGCAGAGCATCATGAATCTAGCACCAATGTTACCATTGTAGCATAGGAATCAGTGTGCTATACCATGAGTTTATACAATTCCAAAAGTTAATTTCTACTCTAGACAAAGGTACAAACTAAAATCCTAATTCTAAACCTATCCAAATCTGGATCTGAATTTTGAAAATGGATCTAAACTACCTAACTACAATTCCAAAATGTGAAGTGTTTGAAATCTGCATCAGAAAATGTGGATTGAGACTATTACTGTCTTTACATAATGATAACAGTTCCTATCATCCTATCATCACCAGATTACTGAATGGGTGGATGTCTGCTCATATATAGAAGCAGACATTTCCCATTTCTTCTTTTGTATAGCATATTTAAAATGTGAATATAATTCTACATTTGACAGAAATCTCTCTTCAAATAATGGTCTTTTGGCCTACTGCTGTCAAGACATTTTAGCAAGGGCTTTTAGAATTAAGTTCATTTATTTTTGCATTATTAAAGATAATTAAAACTTTTTTCATGTAAAACAGCTGACGTGAAAAACTGAGTATTATATATATATATTATACTCAGTTTATATTAATAAATTCTCATGTGTGCAGACTTCTAGTTCTTACAGTGATCTGGAAAATGTCAAGGGCCTGAACATGTTAAATGAAATATATGCAAAAAATTCCAAACATTCTTGTTACTCTGACTTCCTGACTTCTGCTCTCTGATTTTCTAATTGGCAACATCAAAAACTACAAGGCTGTATTAGAGAATAAAAGACACCGAACATGACTGAATTTGAAGAGCACAATAATGATAGTGGTAATTTTACAAACTGGGTAGTGGAAACTAATACACAACATGGAAACAATCCATAAAGAAAAATAGCAATGGAAGAGGAAGAATTGCTCTAAAGTTCTGCTCTAACTTGTATAAATTCATATACTAAACACAAGTAAAATCAAAATTGAGAGGTCACGAATTTAGAAGATTGTTTCCCTCAATGTTATGAAATGTTTTCCCCTTAAAACTGTATGGCATCTTACTTGCCACATGCAAAAACAGACAAATCTAGCATCAAGCCTATCATTTAACAGATCTGAAACCAATAGAGTTCTAATGAGTAATCATGCTAAAAACCAACAGAGTTTTATAGAGTTTAATATACCTATGGTAAAGAGACCATTTTCTATTAAAGGGACATCATTAAGTTATATAGGACAGTTTGAAAATCCTATAGAAAGAATTTACAGGAAAATGCAAATCTATTGTATTTTTCCATAAAGCAACTCAACCACCCACCTTCTGAAAACAGCAAGGGAGAGAAGGGCATGCATCTTTCCTTCTCTTGCTCTGGGATGAGAATTTTGGAATGACACACCTACACAGAAGTATGCCAGGCTGGAGGAGGATACCTTACTGTGGAAAATGTAAAACCCACTTTTACTAACTGATCCCCATTTTGATCTGGTGGTCCTTTGTCACTGGTTTTAATTTATAGATCACAGTCTATTGTTTCTTATCCATTATCTATTTTAGGTTTTTCTAAGATGCCTATCGCAACTGCTTCCCAAGTGTCATGCCAATCCTTATATATTACACCTAGGAGTTAGAATAAAAGAAAATAAAAATCCCTGCCCTCAATAACTGATGTTCCCCCAGATATGCATGAGAAGCAATGATGCAGCCCTAGGGTTGTCTCACCTATCTTGTTAAGCATGGCCTTCTACAGATGGACTGTCATTCTTGCTCTACCATGTGAGAGATCAAGTCTACCTTTACTGGCTGCAGTCTACAGAGATTATAAACCCCACGGAGGGGAGAGAGAAAAGAGAGGGCTGAAAGGGAGAAAGATAAGAAAGGAGGAGAGATGCTAAGGAAAAGAAGAAGGAGAGGGGGACATGCTCGCTAATATCCTAATCTCCTACCAATGAATTCTTAAAGGGCATCAAATAGCTCTAATAACAACAGGTAATTAATCCTGGAGGCAATCCTGATGAGTCATGTGAAAATACAACTCACTTGACTAAACATTTTATTAATTTTTCCCTAATAAACCACAAGCTAGAGACGCATTGCAATTGTCCAGTGTAATCATTGTTAGAGACTAGTAAAAATGCTGTGGCAAAGAATCCAGGCAAAATAACGCAGAGAACTTGACGAGTCATTTTTGAATGCACAGAACACCGACATTTTCGAACAAGAGTTACTATCTCCATCAAACAAATGTCAGCATGATACGTCTGCTGGAAGGGTGGTGGCTGTATCTGTAGAAGATTGTCATAATATCATGACAATCATCATCCCATTCAGAGACTTACCTAGCTTTGAGAAAGAAACGGAAAAGAGGTTGCAATGGTTAGATCTCAGGCGTCATCTTTTTAAAAAAAAAAACAAAACTAAACTAAATTACAGGAGAAATGAAACAGCCAGAACTATATTAAAATACCAATATATCATTAAAAAATTAACTACTGATAAATATTCACTTCACCGTATCATCCTGGTGCTTAGAGTACTTGATGAAAAACATTAATTATGCACGCAACTCTCTCTTTAAAATATATTATATGACTGAGGTGAGGATGGTTGCATGCCCTATACCATATATTAATACAGGTGTCTCTTTCTCACAAGCACAAGTTTGGTAACAACAACTAGATCCACATTTTCCCACCTCAATAAAACTAGATATCACTTGACCTAAATGCCAGTCAGGCCAATGTATGTCTCAGGAATGGAATAGCAGAGAGCGCTATAGGTCAGCAATAAAGTGGGTTTGGAGAGTTGCATGCTGCTATTTGCACAGCACCTGACTGCAATGTGTCTTGTAGCAGGAGCTAATTAAAGTCAATCTCAATTTCTTGAGCTACAATAATATCCACTCACACCTGAAAACAGACACAGGATTTTGTTTTGACTTAAAGCATGTTCATATTTAGAGGCTTAAGCTACAATGGACTCATCAGCAGATGAGGATAAGCCTATAGTATGTATATGAACAAGCAAGTGTGGTAAAAGACAACAAGAAAGGGAAAGTAGGGCCCAACAGAAACAGTGCAGATTTCAATAAACGAGAAGGACATAGCAAGGAAAATTACAAAAGAGTCTACGAGAAAAACTGTTAGAAGAAAGAAGCATAAATGTGTGTGATGTTTTGGAACAAATGGGGAAGAGGAAGGAGACACTGAGGAGGAAATGAAAATGGGAGAGGGAAAGAGGGACAGACTTTGTGAAGAAAATGGAAAGAGATGGAGTAGATACTAGTGCAAGCCATCACTGAGATCCTTCCCAGGCCAGCAACAGGTAGGAGGGAGATAGGTAGGAGGGAAAAAGAGAAATGAGAGGAAAAAGTCTAGGAGGACATAGATGGAGGACACAGAAGGAAGGAGAGGAACAGTAGGACATATAGATTCTTAGAGGGGATAAATATATCAAAGGGCAGACTGGAGAAAGGGGAAGAATTAAGGGAGTGTGTTCACTATGATAAGGGACCTCAGGGAGGGTTCTACTATCTTTAGAGGGATTCGTGTCCTCTCTATGGATACTACCATGATATCTCCTGCCAGGGATTACTTTTAGCCTAGATAATGGAGATAGTTCTGAAGAGCAAATAGTTTCCCTTTGAAATGCACTAGATTACACTAAATCGTGTATACTATGGAACTAGGTTCCAGCTCACTCTTAACTTATTCCATTCAAACACAGGAGTGGAGGGAGAGGGAAGGAATGGGGAGTAGCAGGAAGTGACATCAGACCCCATGATGTCTCCAACTAATGCAGCCCTTGGCAGCACACCAGTGCTCAAGATTGGTTGCTGGCCAAAAGTGAGTACCTACTGGTATGTACAATGAATTGTACTTAAGAAAAAAATACATAAGGCAGAAGTTACTCATAGGTATCTGGAGAATTAGCAAATAAAAGCAAGCCAGCCACAACTGCCTATCTACCCTACAAGAACAACTGTGCTAGCATAAGTTCTCTGCCCTGGTTAGTGATGTCTCTGTTATAAAACAATTTATTATCTGTGTGAACAGAAAAACCTGGTTCTACAAATCTGTGAGGGAGCAGTGATTGAGCCCATAGAACAGAGTTTTAGTCTAGGACCTGACTAGCTCCTCAACCCAATGAGCAAATCAGGACCTAAATAAAAACAATGTTTATTAACATGATTTCTTGATTAGTTTCTCAACTTTAATGTTGCTGTAACAGTTTTCTGCACTGAATTTTAAACAGAACTGTCAACTACTCAAGCCCAGATCCAGATGCATATGCAAAACAGCAGCCCTGGAAGTCTCAATCTATTTTTAAAGGAAGGTTTATCTTAAACCCACCAAAGCAAGATCATCAGAATGAAGGGTAAAACTCAAAGTAGACACTTCCTTCTCCTTACAGGGATGCCTCAAGTTATCATCCTCATCACGAGGAGATTTTCAGTCATGCTGTGAGAAAACCCATCAAGTCAGGATGGATCAGCATCATCAGTGCTTGAATTCAGGCTGCTGCTGCATTTTCAGCACAAATCCACCAGGTGGCATAGTGAAATGCTCACAAGACAGTGTTTCCCAAACTGGGGTTCGTGAACCCCTGGGGGTTCACGAAATGTTACAGGGGGTTCTTGGGGAAAAATTCCCTAATGGCGGACAAAGCTGTCCCTAGGGACCCTGGGCAGCATGGGACACTGAGGAGATTTAACCTTCAAGACTCCTTATAAGAAATGGAAAGGGAGGTGGATATTTTTTGCTGTTTTTAAAATTAAATAGGCAGCTAGTATTATTTTTAAAATTATTATGAAGAACAAATTTAAGCTTTGTTGTAACGTGCGTTGTT